AATAAGATTTAATTTATGAATTCGTATGCATTTTCTCTAACWGGTTATAACACTGAGCTCCGATTTCTCTGCAGGATATTGAGAGTGGAAAGGAGCTAGGTCTTACTCAAACACAAAATTTCTTAGATAATAGCATAGGCAATACAGAAAATTACAGGGAAAAGATCTTTTCTGCATCAATTTTCCCTTCTCTCTAGGGTATTTCTGTAGACAGTGGTCGTTTAAGGATCCGTCAGTATTTCCTTTAAAAATATCCATTTTTGAGAGGTCACAGCATGGATAGAAGAATTTGCTTCTGACTGCAACACAGCAGACAAGACACTACCATCCTTAGGACTTAAACAAGCAAATAAAAACCTTTCATTTTAGCTTAAAGAGAAAGACAAAATAAAAACATTCTGAAATTTATCAAAAAGTGTATTTTTTCCAACTGAAAAACTACACTTGAAGAGTTAGTTTTTGCAAATATGTGATCAATGTCATTATCTATAAAATTGCACAGTAACACTGTACAACCTTCATTTTATAAATTGTCATTATTTATTTCTAAGCACATTGCAGAACACAGTGCAGAGTTAGTTACTGGTGATTCCAGAATCTCCCCTGAAGTTTTATTTGGAAATTCAGAGTACTGTGTTTTTCCTTAGCTTTTCCAGCATATTGGGTCGTCAGTGTGGTTTGGAGACTCACAAGTACTATGCTAATGGGAAATATAAGAAACATTTTTTGTGACTTAATTTAGCTTTTAGGCCATTATTTTTTTATCCATTATCATAACTTTTTCACCTTTTTCAGTCTAACTCAAAGCTTTTGCTCCTGTCTTGGCTAGGATAACATGCAGAAATTTACAAAGAAATATTTTTTAAGTATAAAGGAAAAACATGAACTGTAAATTAAATCTGCACAGAAGACTTTCTTGTTATAGCTAAAGTAGAGGAAAGAAAGTCAGTGATTTCTGGCTTCTCTTTTCAGTTTCACTACCAAATTCCAAATTCATTCCAATCAAAGGCAAGTACACACCTACAGTACAGTAATGAATATCCAACAGGAAGACAGAGAAGCCTCAATAAATACCTAAAAATCCCAAGACAAGCACTTAGTTTAGATCTGAAGGAAATGTTTCTTCATATTATTCATAAATGTATAAAAGTCCAGGAAGGAAGG